TGAGGTGAGGTGAGGTGAGGTGAGGTGAGGTGAGGTGAGGTGAGGTGAGGTGAGGTGAGGTGAGGTGAGGTGAGGTGAGGTGAGGTGAGGTGAGGTGAGGTGAGGTGAGGTGAGGTGAGGTGAGGTGAGGTGAGGTGAGGTGAGGTGAGGTGAGGTGAGGTGAGGTGAGGTGAGGTGAGGTGAGGTGAGGTGAGGGGTTACCCACCCTTTAGTCGAGGTCCTCCTTACCCCGACGGTCTCAGGATTATATCCCATTGCTTTGCTACCAGGAGTAGTTGTTACCACTACCTCCGCTGTTACCCCGTGTGACGCTGTTCCGCCTATCCTGAAAGATTTAACGGGTAACCTCCGGACACTATTTAGATGATACATTATGTTTGGAGGTTTTTTAAGAGATGATCTAATTCCCCTAAGAATTAAAATTTCCGCAATAGACTCATTAGCACATTTAAAACTTTTAGTAAAAGATAGCCGATTACTTCGGAGTTATAATACGCATAATATATCCGCGATTCAAGTAATTAGTTTAATTAGGTTAATTAATAATTGGCTTACTGGCTGCCTGTGGGAGTTGCTTCCGTGACATTTGAGGAAACAACCTTAACCGAGCTCGCCAATATCTGAAAATAAGACAGCTAGGCTAAGTGTTCTAATAAGTCGATCTTATTTAATCGAAATAAATTCGCAAAACAGTTCGGAATCTTCAAAGTGTAAATCAATCGGCTTGGCTTGGCAACTGCAAAAAAAATTAAAGGCTAGACAGCTATTATTAAAATGACCTATTTATATATACCATTTTCTGTCCTCCACGATTCTTATTCAGCAAAACGATCTCAATACAGTTCACAAAAACAGGAATATAGACGATTCTCAGCTCCCTCAATGTTACTATTTCTCTTCACTTATACACTTGTAAATGTCGGCAAATTGTTTAAATTGAAACGGTAAAACTACTCCGTACGGAAAATCTGACAAATGAATAAAGGAAATTCGACAACTATCCATAATATGCGTTACAAAAAAATAAAGGAGAATTAATTAAAAGCATTAAATATTAATTAACGACGAGTAAAATTTAACATACAGTAAATCGAAAGTAGAAAAAGTTAATACAATTGCAACTTGTAACCATGACAACAGTGTGACCAGACTATGCAGTAAGCGGAGTAAAACTACCATATACCAAATCCAATATAAAGAAAACTTACAGTTACCGATGACAAAATGGAATAAATATAAACGGCTAAATTGTTCAAATCAAATGAGATTCTGCTTTCCTGACATATCTGCCAACTATGACGGAATTTTACTTTTTATTGGTATTTTACAAACTAGCGCAGGTACCTGATTAAAACCACGCCTTTTTATACTCCTACGAAGAGAAGCAAATTATGAGCTAGCATTTTATAGTGAAACGAAAAGTGTTAAATTGAATTTACAATTTACAATTTACAACTGAAATTACTTTTAGAAAGATAAATAAACTCCACAATTGTTTTTTAGATAGCATGACCGAATCTGTTTCAAATGTAAGATATTACTTACATTATAAATACAATTACAATAACGTAAAAAACCTAGTTAACATAGAAAAACCGGATGGAAACAAGAAAAATTAAATGCGCTGTCAAATTAATCACCGCGACTACAAGTGTGGTTACTGCGCTGCGTACGTCTTCAAATTACGTCTTCAAATTTATTAATTAACTCAATTGTAGAGCGTAACTTTCAGCATGCTCCGTTCAACGTTTCGTTAATTTCCGTTTAATTTTATAATTTCAGGTGTAAAATATCGTCACTGTTACCGTCACCTTCACTGGCATCACCAATAGCCATTGGCATTATTAACAGTTCAAGATCAGAGAAACCAATTATATTCCATCAAGGGCAATAATAAAGCACCAATAAGTACATATCAGGGTGATTCAAAAATAATTTGAAATGGCCACAATTTTTGAGATCACCCTGAAACTTTCAGAATATGTTCTAGAGATCAGAATGTTGAGATATGCTTTTCAATTATTTTGATTCGATTTTAAAATTGACAGCTCTCTAAAAATAGTCAAAACATCAGGCTCAATACAAACAATAATTGCGACCGTTGTGGCAGACGCTAGATTTCCATTCACTGTTAACTACAAGCCCTAATCAGCTCACTTCATAACATGAACAATATTATGCTTTAAATAGGGAAACACTTGTGACTCAATTCAATTGCCATAGATCCTAACACGCATTTCTAATTTGGTCCTTTTCGGGCCAAAGAACCATATTTATAAATTATAACAGTCCATATTTTTACCCCCCATAATTTAACCCACCGAGTAAAATTTTTGTGTTCCTTTTGGTATATCAGTCATACTCATAATATGCTTAATGTTTCTTTCATTCACGTCCAGAGTTATATGCTTACGTTATTGTTTGTTGAATTGAAGCTAGTTCTGGTTCAAAATGTACAATTTGTCTACTATTATCACCCCCATCTTTTCAATTCGAGGGGTTAACTAGGAACAATATCAATTTAAATTTCAGATCAGCAACTTCAGATAAATAATACAAGTTCAGCAGTGCAGCTGTTTCGTTGCAGTGCACAATTCGATTTGAGATTTTTTCACGAAAGGAAAGTCGCAGTTAAAATTGTGGGGGTTAAATTTGGTTCTTTTCGGGCCAAAGAACCATATTCATAACAGTCCATATTTTTAACACCCATAATTTCCCCCCCCCCCCCATAATATTACTTGATTGACGATGTCAGCCGCTCAGCCCTTCCAGATCGTTGCTCTGCGAATTAACAAAGCAACGATCTCGTCTTACTTCTATGCGAAGTAAGAATGATAGTTTGCGCGGCGCGTCGAAGCGGCAAAGTCCTCCAACAATATTACCGACTGAGGTATCTAACTTGAAGGTATATCACAAACAATGTCTCTAAGCTTAGTACCTAGCCTCCGCAGGACAGCAAGAAAGCAGCCAAGGAATCAGTCGAGGGAGCAGAAGAGCCTCAGAACCAGGAAGCTCAGATCTACACAGAAGCTAGAACTAGAAGTTATGTAGTTGTGGAGATCGTTCTGGAGAAGCCACTTGTTTCAAAAAGACCGCCTCAGCAACTCGCTGCTAAGGTGAATATACTGCGTTTAAATTATTTTTAGCATTTGGACATGAAGCGGTTTTCTTTCAGGTAGCAGAATACATTCCAAAACGGTCTTCACTAACTAATAATAATAATAATTTGGTCGACCGCAGTCGAGGAGCCGATTTGGATGATAATTAATCACTCTACACTCGACTGTCACGTGACTTTTTCAACCCGTTCTCTAGCTGGTCCTGAACGACTATTCGAAACCCTAACCCTCTTATCTGATCCCAACCCTAACCCTAACCCAATCCTTAACAAAAGCATATGCTGAAACCCTAACCCTAACGAGAAATTAGACTAACTTCCTTATACGGTCATATCACGTGATCGAGACAGTTTTTCGCCTATATCTCGTAAGGGGAACATTTTAACCCTATGTCATGGGGGGTGATTCGGAATCAGCGTCCGAAAATACATCGATTGAAGTTGGTTTCAACTGTCGGGGGCCCTTTTAGAACAATCTCGAAGATCGACTGTAGAGTGATTTAGTACGCTCGAGCCGATTTCCCTGTCTAATTGCATTTCGGCCACGGTCCTAAGTCCTTTCGGTACAGATTTCCCTGCAGTATAGTCGGGACGCAACCCCAGGCATATACACTCGTGTTATTTTCGCAGCTCTAATGAAAGCCACTACCATTTACACCATAGTTTGTTGATTGCTCTAACCAGAGCCCTCTCGCTTGCAGTAGCGCGCGACCGCCGGAGGCGGCAAAGATCCTACTTGTGAAACAAGCGCGTCACGCAGTACGCGTAGGCACATGGCTATGTGAAGTTTGTTGAGTGACGGCTGCCCTTCAGTTTTTGAGATTTAGGCCCAACAGGGATTCGAAACTAAACACCACTGTGGAGCGGACGAAGCTGTGTCAGAATATCACAAACAGATCGGAGACGTGGCTAACTTAGTGCTGAACGAGTTACGAGTACCGACAGGTTAGTGTGATCATGTGATTATTCGTGTGGTCACGCGATTGTTCATGTGATCAGGTGATTATTAAATATATTTATTCGCAATAAACGGTGCAAATTTTGATGGCGATGTTCCCACCATTACCAAATCAAAGTTATCAATCCTCGAATATTATTCCTTATTAATTTTAATACCGTTTAGAAGTTCGGAGTCTCAAACGAATCCACAGAGTCAGACTTTTTATTCAAGGATGGCCAAAAACCATATAATAATACAACAATATAAACTATACTTATTCCCGTTTTAAACCATTAAAATCACTACAAAGAACTGGTTTTATTATATATACATAATGAAATGCACCCCTTACCAGAACTTCGAGTTTCTTTTAAGCAAAATAATTAACTTTTTTCAAGGATACATTCCGGAAACTTTAATTGCACAAAATCTAAAAAAATAAACGCTGAAGTTATTTTATTCCAGCTTAAAATTCAAAAACCATTAATGAGGAAATGAAATGAAATGAAATAATGTGCTTGTATACCGCCCATATGGTTAGCAACTGACACAAGTGCCAGGTGTTAAGATGCGTACTCGGTTTTCAGCACGACAACTTTACTTAACGGCCTATTTACTGCTCCAATTTTCCATGACTTCTAGAGATTATTTATTTATTATATTTCATTAAATTGTGATGGTATTAATTTAACTACGTATAATGGGCTCCTTTTAACTAGAGTATGGATATGCAGGTTCCGATATTATGGAATACCTCCCGGTTTGAGACTCACTCAGGGCATAGTTCAAACCCAAACTCTCAGTGTACAATGGTAGATTTATGACAGGAATTTATGTTATAATTATGGACTTCGAACTTTTAGGGGAAATTATGTCTAGAGTTTTAACTTCGAACTTTTAGATGAATTTATATCTGGAAGATAACCAATTAAAACAAGTTAATCAAGGACTGTAAAATAATGCAAGACCAATCCAATCGTACATAAAATAAGTGTTCAATCTCATGGTAAAGTCCGTTACCCTAAATCAGTTGGGTAGCTGGGTGATCAATGGGAACTGGTGTGTATTATAACGGGCTGGCTGACTCTCTCTCTGGACGATGGACAGGTAGCTGCTATATCATGGCTACGTTCCTTCAATGCTGCCAACGAGGGCAGAATCCGTGGGAGGGGAATGTCCTAGAAAGGGACAAATTATTAGCAAATGACGGATTAATTAAAGACAATAATATACTAACTAGGATAAAATTAAACAAGATAAAGTTAAATTAGAATGAACTGTAGAATACGAAATATGTAGAACGTATCAATTAATGCTCAATGACTTACGAGATAATAAGGTAGGTGCTGCTAAGGTTGGGACAAACAGGCAGGTTAGGATAGGGCTCACCCACAATATTACCTAGGAAATGATAAACTATTAGGAACTAAATAATAACCAATCGGGAATGACCTTAGTATTACGAACAATGTGAAACAATAATTTGGGAATACCATTGCAAAGAACAACATCTAATGAATGGGTTACATAATAATAGAACAATACCTCAAGCAACAAACTTCCTAGCTTAGCGGGAATTTACGGAAGTGACGGGAACCAATTGCAATGTTCTGGTGACTTCTGGTGAAAACAACGGATAAGTATTTTACCCGCATATTATGCACAGAGCTTGAACTCATGAAATTAATCTTAACTTAATTATGCATGATTTTGATACGGTCTTAGGAACAAAATACTAAGGTCAATGATTTGAAATAAAAGACTACAAACCTATTTATGAAACTAGTGACGTGGGAGAGAGCGCAGCATACTAACATCCCGGCCGTGTAGGGAAAACCAATCATAGGAGAGGCGTTCGGGAAAAGGCTAAAGGCAGACGGCTACAGCTAACGGCAGTGAGAATCTTGTGTGTTCATCTTTTGTAGTCTAGGTGTTCTGTAGAAGAGGAGCTCCAGTGGAAGAGGCGGTCCACGCGTTATCCAGGAGAGTTGCAAACAAACAGGTTATTGCAAACAGGTTATTGCAAACAAACAGGTTTAATAATCAAATACAGGTTTTTAAAACTGGTTAAAATACCGTTCCACTAATTGATGGATTCAATAACTCTTATTAATCCAATAATTTCTTTATAAATAATTCTAATAACACTAAATGTCCTTTCTGACCAATGGATGCAGTGCTCTGCAAATCTCTCCAATCAGATCTTAATCATATAAATGATCACTTAATTCATCTTAATCATATAAGTTCTCACCTAATTCATCTTTATGACACTTTATGTTACGGTGAATATTTGCAAATTTACATGGTTTATTTACCATTTTAATCCACATATTTACAAATCTAATTACTACTAACGCAGCATACTGGGGTTCAACTTAACTTCTAGTTCTAAGGTACTACACACGTCCCTAACATGTCCCCGATCGATTTTAGGACGTCCCCGTCATAACAACCCCATCTATAATTTAAGAACTTTATAAAATAATGACCCTTTCTTTTTATCTAAAAAAATCGTACATTAAAATAACTAACTATCTTTAAAAAAAACAAATCTCTAACTCCTTGTGCATAAGGTTTCATAAAACTTAATATACTCGATAGTTACTAGAATATGAGGCAACTGGTTATTAGTTGCACTATTAACAGTTAGTGGACAATCAACCACATTGAATTTAGGTGCGTGAGTCTCGGTATTTGTAAATTTTGTGGAGTCAATCAACTCATTAACACCTCAGAAACTCAGAAATTCTAAGAAATTTAGAGCCACTAATGCCATTACCAGGAATTAAAGGATTTCCAGGAATCTGGTATAAATGTTGGTGTGTCATGATATACAGACTTGTTGCCACAAGATTCAATAAATTAATTTTTTAATAAAAGAAAAAAAAAGAAAGAAATATACATGCCCACAACTTAATACCCTATAATTAAAGTCATTGTCCTCGTGGTCATTGTAGTGGTCATTGTAGCGTGCATCTTGGCTGCTGAAAGCCATGTTGTCAAAGTTGTTGGACTGTTGTCCATAGTAATTTATGTTAGGTAGTCCGATGCTTACACGTGATCCTTGGTAATTGTATGGGAGGTTGAGGCCATTATTGTAAGCGGGAGTATCGGTATTTGGGTTTACAGGCTGAACTTCACGTGGTACGACTTGGCTGATTGCATTAACAGATAGTAAATCAATAATAGTGTTTAACTTATTGGTCGTGTCATTAATGTCCGGTGTGATGGCTGTATCCACAGCGTTGACAGCTTGGGTCCTAGATAGGGAAGCGTTTTTGCAGTTGATGAGAAGGTCTGCCCTCTCTAAAAGTTGTTCATTTTGTCACTTCTGGTCTTCGACCTCCTGTTACATTTCAACTTTTTCAATTCAATCATAACTTTCATTTTATGCACCCTTACTTACTTATTTATTCTTACTTAATCATTATGTGTAACCAGGCGCAGTCTGAGCTGACCCCATTTCCGCAGTTTAAAGAACTGCCCATTGCTTCCCGAGGTTCAATTTTTAATCCCCTCGATCACAACAGCTACATTCGCTTACTAACTGGACGATCATAAAGACCAAGTCGCTTTTAGCTTATGTAGGCCCGACTGTACATTGAGCAGATCACGCAACCTTTTACATAAAAGGATGTTACGCATATGTGAACCTACCGGCAAGGGACCCAGTCTGTAGCGATGGATGACCAGTAAGTGGGATTGGCACTCCTAGGTTCCACCGACGGTCTTATCCATAGAGGACTTAGCTGTCACAACTATGAACTTTGACCGTTTTCTCTTGCCTTGCCTGTTCACTAGATCTTATCTTCCAAATTTTATTCACTCCCTTTCTGGGTAATTTTCCACCTTTGTGGGGTTCAAAAAGATAAGATACTAGCTAGGTGTGGACTGTCGTCCACGTACCACCGTGTTCCACTTGCCTGGGGACGTATGTCCAGTCCTGGGGGTGACAAGCTCCAGGTACTGAACACCAGGTAGCCCGAAAACACGGCCGACTAGAGGGTACCAAGGCAGTGTGTTAATTCACACTTCGTTAGACACGGGAGCCTTCAGTTACTCTCCAGCACTATATAGTTGTTTAACGTGTCCCCGGATCCTCGCGGATCCGCCTCCCCCTGTTATGGGCTGGGATTATAAGGAGCTCATCCCTCTTCCCAACCCGCATATTATGCACAGAGCTTGAACTCATGAAATTAATCTTAACTTAATTATGCATGATTTTGATACGGTCTTAGGAACAAAATACTAAGGTCAATGATTTGAAATAAAAGACTACAAACCTATTTATGAAACTAGTGACGTGGGAGAGAGCGCAGCATACTAACATCCCGGCCGTGTAGGGAAAACCAATCATAGGAGAGGCGTTCGGGAAAAGGCTAAAGGCAGACGGCTACAGCTAACGGCAGTGAGAATCTTGTGTGTTCATCTTTTGTAGTCTAGGTGTTCTGTAGAAGAGGAGCTCCAGTGGAAGAGGCGGTCCACGCGTTATCCAGGAGAGTTGCAAACAAACAGGTTATTGCAAACAGGTTATTGCAAACAAACAGGTTTAATAATCAAATACAGGTTTTTAAAACTGGTTAAAATACCGTTCCACTAATTGATGGATTCAATAACTCTTATTAATCCAATAATTTCTTTATAAATAATTCTAATAACACTAAATGTCCTTTCTGACCAATGGATGCAGTGCTCTGCAAATCTCTCCAATCAGATCTTAATCATATAAATGATCACTTAATTCATCTTAATCATATAAGTTCTCACCTAATTCATCTTTATGACACTTTATGTTACGGTGAATATTTGCAAATTTACATGGTTTATTTACCATTTTAATCCACATATTTACAAATCTAATTACTACTAACGCAGCATACTGGGGTTCAACTTAACTTCTAGTTCTAAGGTGCTACACACGTCCCTAACACCAGGTACTAACCATGTCAGAGCGGTTCTAAAGGGTGTGGTCAAAATATCCAGCAACAAACAACTAAATCATCTCAAAAACAAATCTATTTAGGAAAAATTAAAACTTTAAATATATCATATAGTAATCATAGGAAGATTTATTGATATATACCACACTACGATTAACAATAAACCACCAGAAAACACTTCAAAAGTAACATAATATACTTATAGGAATCATAGGAAGGTTTATTAATATATTAATACACTTTGCACTTATAAATAAAGATACACCCTCCAACAAATCATAAGAACAAAGAAAAAACAGCACTAATCACATACGGTCATATAAATAATGTTTAAGGCTACCTTTAAAACTGTCTACGTTGCGTAGTGATCGTATCTCCCAGGGAAGTGAGTTCCAAGCAGTTGGTGCGTAGTTGGTGAATCGACGTTGATCAATCTTACTATTTGTAGTTTTAGGAGTCTTTAGTCTGTAACAATCTCCTTCTACTTTTGATCTTGTACTGGCTATTGTCAATGGGTTTTCGATCACTACAAGATTCTGTATGTAGGCCGGTGCAATCCCATGCACAGCTTTATAAGTTAACAGGCAGACTTTAAAGAAAATCCTTTGGTCAAGAGGAAGGATATGTGCTCTCTTGTAGTAGGGAAGTAGGTCTTCTAATCGGTCTTTGATATTGTAGATGAACCGTATGGCACCATTGAGGGTTGATCTTAGCTTGTTTAGTCGTGTCTTTGGTAGGTTCATGTAAAGAGAATTACAGTAGTCGAGCTTTGATATTACAAGCTGTGTTACCATCATGAGTTTCACTCCTTCATCCAGATAGCGCCCAATCGTCCTTAGATTCATCATTGTCCAGCTGCATTTCTGTTTGACACTATTAATTTGTCTTTCCATTGTAAGAGACTTATCAAACTTTACCCCAAGACTCTTCCAGCTGTCACCTTTACATTCAGTTGGAGTGATAGTTGAGTTTCCGAACTGAACCGTCACCTCCATTTTGCAGTCTTTAAGAACTTTTGATTTGCCTAGGACAAGTAGTTCTGTCTTCGACTCATTGAGTTTCATAAAGTTTCCAACCATCCAATGCTTGATTTCCGAGAGACATCTATTTATCCGATCTTTGACATCTGCAAGTTCGCTTGGGAAGCTTGGATGAAAAGATATGTATAACTGAGAGTCATCCGCATATAGCTGGATGTCTAGTCCAAATTTGGCAGCAATGTTTTGAAGGTCTTTAATGTAGAGTATAAACAAGATGGGCCCTAGTAGGGATCCCTGAGGGACTCCAAAGAGGAGTTCAAGCAGAGACGAGATAGTATCGCCAATCTTTACAAAGAAATATCTGCTCTCAAGGTATGATCTCATCCATTGAAGGGCTTTCCCAGTTACACCATAATGCTTGAAAAGTTTCTCAAGGAGGATTTCGTGGTCAATAGTGTCGAAAGCTGCACTGAGATCCAGGAGTACCACAGCCACGATGTTACCTGCTTGAATCTCCTTGTTTATGTCGTCAGTCATCCTGACAAGAAGGGTCTCACAGCTGTGCTGTGGGCGGTATCCAGACTGGACAGGGCAGTGAAGGTTGTTTGTGTCCAGATAGTCATTTAACTGGTTCAGTACAATTCTTTCCAGGAGCTTGGATATAGCAGAAAGGTTCGATACTGGTCTATAGTTACTTAAACTGTCAACATCAGCGTTCTCTTTCTTAAGGGTTGGCTTAATAACCGCTTTCTTCATTTGAGAAGGAAATGATCCTGTCTTAGTAGACGTGTTTAGGATGTGCAGGAGTACAGGTGTTAGCTCATCCACACAGCTCTTCAGTAGGAATGAAGGAATGGGATCCAGACAGCAGAACTTGTTACTCATCATTTTAACCAATTTTCTGAGGTCTTCAGCACTGATAGGGGAAAACGTGTGAAGAGTTGAAACATAATCAGGTTCACTTGAAAGAGCAAGTGTTTCCTCCGGGACGTTTTTGGATGCATCCAATTCAATGTCTTTCCGTATTTTGTTAACTTTCTCAGCAAAGAAGTCTTTGAAATCCTCTGACAGTTTTCCAGGGTCTTGATGTTTGGGGAGGTCCTGTGTCTCGTTACCAAGAAGTCTGTTAAGCTTCTTGTAAAGGGCCTTTGAGTCTCCTGATGATGCTCGAAGCGACTCTTTGTTATAAGAACATCTCTTCACAAACTCTAAACTAACAAATCTATCTCTGAGATCTATGTAGTCTTTCCTGGTACCCTTTCCTTTGCGCCATGCACGTTCGGCTGCTCTCCTCTTTTGACGTAGCAAACTAAGGTCTAAGTCAAGCCACGGCATGGGTTTCTTCCGAAATTTCTTCTTTATAACAGGACAGTGCTTATCCATGAGTTGAGTAAGTACAGAGTTATACAGTGAAGTCGCTTCTTCAGCAGTTAAAATTGGATCAATAGTCGACAGGTTGGAATTCCTTAGATCATCCTTAAAAATTTCAATGTCTATGGATTTGAAATTTCTGTAGGCTCTCAGAAATTTGCCATTATCATTCTTACTAAGTCGAGTGTCAACATCGAAGAGTACTAGAAAATGGTCTGAGGAAGTTCTTGACTGAACAATGTTAAAATTGCTGATCTTGTTCTCAAGGGACTGGGTAGTGATCACTAGGTCCAGGGTACCGCCCTGATCATGAGTTGGGACTATTGGAACATGTTGTCGGAGGTTGTACTGAGCTAGCAAGTCCAGAAACTTCTTTGGATAGTGTTCATCGGGTCTTTCAACATGAAAATTGAAATCACAAGTCAAGAGAGGGTTTCCTGGCTTTGCACACAGTATTTTAAGGTATTCTTCAAACTCCTTTAGGAAGTCACATTCTGTGTACCTTGCTTTCTTTGTGTAGGGGGGTCGGTAGATGTTTAATAGTCTCAGCAACTCTGATTCAGCACTCAGAAGTGATTCCATCACTTGAAATGACTTAAACTTGGTCACTTTGGTATTAGGCTTCAGTTCAATCGAACTTCTGTAAACCATTGCTATACCACCTCCACTGCGGTGTTTCCTAGGATCAGAAAGTATGCTCCAGCCACTATCTTTTATCTCAGTGAGTTTTGCTTTGTCGCCATCTCGAAGAAATGTTTCTTGCATAAAACAAATGTCACAGTCTGTTTCCCACAAATGTTCTAAAACACCAACAGTCTTGTTTAAAAGAGATCGGACATTGAAAGTTCCACATCTCAACTTCTTCCTAGTCTCATCTTTTGGTCCTTGACCCTCTGGCGATAGGCGTTTTTTATCTGCTCCGTGCATCCTGCAGTTCTAGACATGACTCGTTCTTTTTCTCTTATAAAGAATGGACAAAGATTATCAGCAGCTTTATGCGTCTTTGCAGCATTTTTCTCTGTAGCACTTTTACTATTAAAGCAGTTAGAACACTTTATCCGATCAGTCCTATTATTTATCCTGTTTTCACAGTCTTTAGAAGTATGTGCTCCAGCACAGTAGAAACATGTAGGAGAGGCATCTTTCAGCTTGCAGTACTGTGACTTTGCCATATGGCCAAATTGCTGGCAGTGGTAACATTGTACTACATGGAGTCGGTCATACACACGATGTCTTTGTAGGCCCAGGTATATATAGTCACCACATTTTCTGATGACTTCTCTAGCCTCTATGGGCAGTTGGATGACAGCAAATTTTTCTTTGATATCATAGTAGACTACTTTGACATTAGCATCCTTCATACCAGTGTTCTTTTCCAGTAGTTCATCAAGGATCTTTTCTTTGCTGTCAAAATCAAGGTGAATGTCAGATATTGTTAGTTTGGGATCTAACTTCTTTGGTTCTACTGACTTTGAATTGATTTTAACTGACTTACATTTTTGTGTCAGCGCTCTTTCCGCTTCTTTCATGTCATCTTCAGTAGTAAAACTCAGCACTGTTGTACCATTACTTACCCGTTCATCTTTAACTCGGACACCTTTAAGAGAGTTCTTCACGTCCTTACGATAAACTTCGGTCCATTCATGGTTAGTGATAGTAGTCTCTGTATCATCCTCGTTCACTGGTGACTTTGCTATAGTAATCGTGTGCCTTGCTGGCAGGGGCTTCTCTATTGGGGGGTTAGCTTGCAGGGATTCCGCAGGGGAAATGGCAGCCACTGAAATAGCTTCTTTCAGAAGATTAGGTAGGACTTCACTCAATTGTCTCTTAATTATGTTTTCTAGAGTTTGGCTGTCCTGTTCCGGAAGGGGGACAAGTGAGGTCTTTGCTAGATCAATAGCTCTGGTTGCAATGATGTATAGTTCTTTACAAACCTTGAAAATATGATCTTTGTTGTTGCTGGTGGCTATATCTGTCAAATCTTTTGCTTGGTGGATTGTTTTCTTACCTTTTATGGAATTTTCGTTGATTAGGTCGAGCTCATCTTCCAGTTTCTTCAAGTCATCCATATCTGCTAATGAAATCAAGGTCCTATACCCAAGATAAACTGTAAGTTTTTAGAAAAACTTAAACAGCTACAGTAACGTAGATCTGGGTGTGTATGGTAACAATAGAAACCTCAAATTATTTGTTATATAGTAGTGTTGAAAGTATTAAAAAAGAAAGAATCACCACTTATATTTAAATTCATTCTATTAAGTAGTACTCTAGAAAAATCAATTAGTTCAGTTATGTCCGGATAACTGTAATGTTTGATATCGGACCCTAACTGATCAGTTCATAAGTCCTCAAACTAGTAATCTCCATTTTCTTGCGTCCCGTTTTCTACTGAAGGTTGATGGTGATATCATCAGCATATACGATGATGTAATCCTCCATGTAACTGATATCTGCCCTCCCCACTGTCATATACTCCTCAGGGATGTTTAGAGGGATCCCACTCTGCAAATCGTCCTCCAGCACCCTCGCCAGTTTCTCCTCCAGCACCGAGTTGAGGAGACTCTCGATCCCCTCCAGTATCAAGTTATCCTCCTCCAGTCTCCTTTGTTCGGACATCGTCATTCCGTCCATCTCCGCTCCAATGTAGAGTTTCCCAGTCCATATATCTACATTTGCTGTCACGTTGGGGACTAGCGAGTATCCCCCGTCCTTCTTTACCATCCTCATTGTTCCTATCCAATTAGTCAGGGACTCGAACTCCGTTTTAATCTCAAGTTTCGGGTCATCACTGCTCAGAGTGAGCCGAGCTCTGAGGTGAACCAATACGGAGATACCGTCGTCGGTGATGCTTACTTCCGGGAGTGCAGTGCTGCTGATCTTCACGGTCTTCCTGTTAAATCCAGCCAGGATCTGTCCTTCGTTTTCAGGGAACTGTACACTCACTGTATCTATAACCTGGCCATTGCGCAACACAACGAAAGTCGTTCTACTCCCCTCAGTGCCTGTCTCTACCAAAGAAAACTTGAGTAAGTCGAAGTGGTGTAGGTTCTGGATGCCTCTAGAGATGAGGTCCTTCGTGAGGATGATGGAGACCCCACTGTTAGGACCTGGAACCACTCCACACCAGTCTTTAGCCTGTCTCTTCTTTCTAGCTGGTTCCTCGGTGGCAGGGATGTGGATAAAGGGAGGTGTGACTATTTGTGTGGTGTCTGGTACTCCTGTCAGTTCTATAACTGCGGGTGTAGAGATAACAGCACAGCTAGGTCCCCCTGTTATTACTGATGGGTTAAAGTCCACTTTCAGTTCTCCTCCCGATTCCAATGGCATCGAAAAGTCCTGGTTGAACATTGCATTGTCCAAGTTAGCTGCAGCTTCACCCACCACTTCATTCACTTTCTCGCAAATAGATCTCCGAAAATCTAATGTCAGACCAATTTCAAAGATCCACGTCATTTCGTTCAAAAACCAGTTTAACCAGGAACCTGTATTAATGTTAATGTCGAGAGATCCTATACTCGCCCTACAAGAACCGGAGTCATGTGAGAACCCAACTTTTCCGTTCGACTTTACCCCAAGATTGACCCTGTCTGAGATACTAAACCTAGAGCTAACTTGAACTCCTCCATCAATTGACACGGAGTACCACCAGGACCTCTGGTCGTACTTCCAGCTCCCTGAGGCTCTTATAGTCCCATCCATACTCACGTCCACTACAAGTTCTCAAGTTGACTGCCATCATTACGGAGGGTGATGGAGGGGTTGAGGGTGAGGGTGGTTACTCTCACTCCCCAGTAGTCGAACGAGTAGCCACTTCCACTGTCTCTTCCACTGAATGATTTTCCCTGGTGGGGTTAACAAATATTAAAATCACCTGATCATGACATTATGATTACATAATTTCCTAAGACTGATTTGAATTTGTACGTATAATATTTCGAATTTGTACGTATAATATTTCGAATACCTTATCGGACCTTATTTGGACGGACATTACTTGAACGCTGGAGGCCCTAGCGTTCATCTTAATGTCCGTTCAAATAAAGTCCGTTCAATTAATGTCTGTCCAAGTTAAGGTCCGTTGAAATTTTTTCAAAAATTTTTCCATTTCGAACTTTTTACCCAGAATATGACAACTATGAGAACTTTATTGCGCCGGAAAGACCAAGGAAAGGTTCTTCTTGGTCTGCCGGAGGCACAGAAAACTCTACTAGTATATGATGTTTTCAAGGGTCACTTGGCGGAAAATGTCAACGAAATCATGGCACTCAACAACATAGTTCATGAGCTAGTCCCCGCCAACATGACAAACTTGTTCCAGCCTCTAGATATTACGGTAAATCGTGTTGCCAAGGACATTGTCCGACGTTTTTATTGTCAGCCATAAAGAACACCTATTAGGAAAAAACGTCAAAAATCCTTTGTAAGCTTTGTGTGTGACACACAAAGCTTACAAAGGATCGATCTGCCGACCCACTGTGTCGGCAGATCGATTTTTTCAGACGGATTTCTCTGTACTAATATGATATACCTTATCGGACCTTATTTGGACGGACGTTACATGAACGGACATAATTGTGAACGGACATTAATATGAACGCTCGAAGGCATTCAAAACCATCAAAAATCCGAATTTTTTCAATTTTTTTGACGTTTTTTTAATTTCAGCAAATGATTTTAAATCCACTTTTTATACAGTAAGTAAGAAAAGCAGTCATTAAGCAGTAAAAATGTTAAAATATGTGTACATGATCAATTTCTAATATCACATATCATCTTCATTAAATGGGTTTTCGTGCATGAAATAGTCCATGCTTAAAGCATCAGTGATTTCTAGCTTTGTGGAAACCTTTTTCATCAAACTACCCCGGTCCTGCATTTCAGTGTTAACTTTTACAAGCCATTCGGCGTGAAGTGGTTTTATCTTAGACAACTTTAGGTTAACCTTAACATCACGTGGAGCTTTCCTAGCACTGTTTCATTACCTCTCCTCAAAAATATGAACTATAACAACTTCGGACAATGTCCTTGGCAACACGATTTACCGTAATATCTAGAGACTGGAACAAGTTTGTCATGTTGGCGGGGACTAGTTCATGAACTATGTTGTTGAGTGCCATAATTTCGTTGACTTTTTTCCGCCAAGTGACCCTTGAAAACATCATATACTATAGTAGAGTTTTCTGTGCCTCCGGCAGACCAAGTAGAACCTTTCCGTCGTTAACTTACGGCACAATAAAGTTCTCAAAGTTGTCATATTCTGGACAAAAAGTTTGAAATGGAAAAAGTTTTGAAAAAATTTCAACGGACTTTAACTTGGACGGACATTTATTGAACGGACTTTATTTGAACGGACATTAAGATGAACGCTAGGGCCTTCAGCGTTCAAGTAATGTCCGTCCAAATAAGGTCCGATAAGGTATTGTGATAGTGTGATTGAAAAGAGCTCGATATTATTTAAACACCCACCAAATGCGATATGACTCAAATTGCATTTGGCGAGTGATGTAATTATTATGAACTTCACATTTCTTGCACAACTCGGTCTAATTATCGAGGAAAAAAAGAGGTAGATGGTAATCCAGGTAGGCCAGTTCAGATTAGCACGATCGACGGTACAGAATCAGAGAGGTTTTATTTCACCCTGATTTTTTTTGTGAAACTTGGTTTCGAGACATAGCAGTTGACCAACAAACTAGGACCGGTGACCGAAATTTTGAGGGGGTCCCGGACCCAAACCACTAAACGGTGCCCGCGGGGCAGCCACGCCCATATTTGGTCCAAATTAGGCTCAATTTAGCCAAATACCCTGAACATGCCCAAAATTCAGATTTTAGTAGATTTTGTAGCAATAGTATTCCCCCGAACTTGTATATGAATTTCCATCAAGATTGGACAAAAAATGACTGAGTTATGAGCTAAAAACTATATGCCCATATTTGGGCATACGCACCTAATTTGATCGATTTTGGCCCATAAATTGATCAAATATCAATATTTTTGAATGAAACCAACTTTATATGAAAGGTAAGCCTAAACTACACATTCTCTATGATTTTCAGCTCAATATCTACCTATAACTGTGGATTCTATGTTCAAATAATCACAAAAAATTAACAAAATCGCCCATATCTCAGTTCGCGTTATTTGCGAAACTAACTTCGCTCAAAACAATAGAACTCAATAGGGTTTCAATAATTTTTCATGAAATTTTTAGAATTAACGTAGAATTGCATTTCGACCTGAAGTTTTGGGACAAAATTTTGAGTCAGGCCTTTAAAAAAATTTGGCCGCCAAATTTTTATTTCATGATGATTCCAATCATTTTGAACCACTAAAAAAATTTTAATTTTTTGCTAATTAGCTAAGTTTTCCTTCCTGATAATATGAACACCCTCGATTAATTCGCAACTTTTTACGATGTTCACAACTAAAGATATTTGACAAACAAAAAGGGTGGTAAAAAGTGGTGAATTGGCAAAAAGTGGCCTTAAGACACGTGGAAAAGTTTGGAAAAGTTTGACACACGCTGTAACCCCTTTTGAGCGCGCGGCGTGCACGAGAGGTATACAACGTGTAGCAAGGAAAAGTTGGTCAGCCATAGAGGACTCCTATTAGGACTCAAAAACGTCAAAGATCCTTTGTAAGCTTTGTGACGGATTTCACTGTACTAGATGTAATTTCGACTTTAATTCTAGCCAAAGCACCCCACCCCCCCCCACCCCCCCCATCCCCCTCCGAGTCCCAGCCTTACCTTCAATTGTGTAGATATTCTGTCGGCCACCTCGTCTGTAAAGTCCTGTAAGAACTGTTTGGAAACCTTGCCCATAACTCCCTTGTCGAAAGGTGACACCAAGGCGGTACTACAAGTGGTAGCTACTACCGTCATCAACATCAGCTGTATGATCATTTCTGCTTCTTTCGGGACTCGTGTTACTTTGAGGAATATCAGCGCTAATAAAGGGTATAACGGTAAATACAACGAGGATTGTAATCGTGCTTAAAGTATAAACATGGACAGATCATGCCATGCGCCGCTGAGCAAATACCAAACAGATTAAATGGTTGCAGAATACGGATAAGTTTATGACCAATTTAAGTAACTTGGTTCTGCAAATCTAAAGCTCTGCGAATTTATCAGCAGCAGAAAAATTTATAACATGTCGTTAACATGAACTCTAGAATTGAGACTACATAATAATACAACATAAACCATACTTATCCCCGTTTTAAACAATTAAAATCACTACAAAGAACTGGTTTTATTATATATACATAATGAAATGCACCCCTTACCAGAACTTCGACTTTCTTTTAAGCAAAATAATCAACTTTTTTCAAGGATACATTCCGGAAACTTTAATTGCATGAAATTTAAAGAAATAAACGCTGAAGTTATTTTATTCCAGCTCAAAATTCAAAAACCATTAATGATGAATCACCACTTACATTTAAATTCATTCTATTAAGTAGTACTCTAGAAAAATCACTTAGTTCAGTTATGTCCGGATAACTGTAATGTTTGATATCGGACCCTAACTGATCAGTTCATAAGTCCTCAAACTAGTTATCTCCATTTTCTTGCGTCCCGTTTTCTACTGAAGGTTGATGATGATATCATCAGCAGATACGATGATATAATCCTCCCTGTAACTGATATCTGCCCTCCCCACTGTCATATACTCCTCAGGGATGTTTAGAGGGATCCCACTCTGCAAATCTTCCTCCAGCACCCTCGCCAGTTTCCCCTCCAGCACCGAGTTGAGGAGACTCTCGATCCCCTGCAGTATCAAGTTATCCTCCTCCAGTCTCCTTTGTTCGGACATCGTCATTCCGTCCATCTCCGCTCCAATGTAGAGTTTCCCAGTCCATATATCTACATTTGCTGTCACGTTGGGGACTAGCGAGTATCCCCCGTCCTTCTTTACCATCCTCATTGTTCCTATCCAATTAGTCAGGGACTCGAACTCCGTTCTAATCTCAAGTTTCGGGTTATCACTGCTCAGAGTGAGCCGTGCTCTGAGGTGAACCAATACGGAGATACCGTCGTCGGTGATGCTTACTTCCGGGGGTTCAGTGCTGCTGATCTTCACGGTCTTCCTGTTAAATCCAGCCAGGATCCGTCCCTCGTTTTCAGGGAACTCTACACTCACTGTATCTATACGCTGGCCATTGCGCAACACATCGAAAGTCGTTCTACTCCCCTCAGTGCCTGTCTCTACCAAGGAAAACTTGAGTAAGTCGAAGTGGTGTAGGTTCTGGATGCCTCTAGAGATGAGGTCCTTCGTGAGGATGATGGAGACCCCACTGTTAGGACCTGGAACCACTCCACACCAGTCTCTAGCCTGTCTCTTCTTTCTAGCTGGTTCCTCGGTGGCAGGGATGTGGATAAAGGGAGGTGTGACTATTTGTGTGGTGTTTGGTACTCCTGTCAGTTCTATAACTGCGGGTGTAGAGATAACAGCACAGCTAGGTCCCCCTGTTATTACTGATGGGTTAAAGTCCACTTTCAGTTCTCCTCCTGATTGCAATGGCATCGAAAAGTCCTGGTTGAACATTGCATTGTCGAAGTTAGCTGCAGCTTCACCCACCACTTCATTCACTTTCTCGCGAATAGATCTCTCCAAATCTCTCTTCAGATCCTTTTCAAAGATCCACACAATGAAGTTAAGAAGCCAGGCGTACCAGGAACCTGAAATGTTAATGTCGAGAGATCCCATACTCGCCCTACAAGAACCCGAGTCATGTGAGAACCCAACTTTTCCGTTCGACTTTACCCCAAGATTGACCCTGTCTGAGATACTAAACCCATTTGAGCTAACTTGAACTCCTCCACCAAATGTCACGGAGTACCACCAGGACCTCTTGTTGTAACTCCAGCTCCCTGAGGCTCTTATAGTCCCTCGCATACTCGCGTCCACAACAAGTTGACCTGTTCCACGGAGGGTGATGGAGGGGTTGAGGGTGAGGGTGGTTACTCTCACTCCCCAGTACTTGAACGAATGGCCACTTCCACTGTCACTTCCACTGAATGATTTTCCCTGGTGGGGTTAACAAATATTAAAATTACCTGATTGCATGACATTATGATCACAAAATTTCCTAAGACTGATTTGAATTTGTATAATATTTCGAATATATCAGATTAGTACAGAGAAATCCGTCTGAAAAATCGATCTGCCGACACACAAAGCTTACAAAGGATTTTTGACGTTTTTAAGTCGTTATAGGTGTCCTTTATGGCTGACCAACTTTTCCAAACTTTTTCACGTTTTTTAAGGCCACTTTTTGCCACTTTACCACTTTTTACCACCTTTCTTGTTTGTCAAATATCTTTAGTTGCGAACATCGTAGTAGGCACGTGCCTCTGACGCGCTACTACTTGGCGGTGGAGATGCAAGACATTCTTGGCCTGGTAGCACTCTAGCTCGGAACCCAACCCAAGTAACCCAAGTAAGTAAGTAATAGCTTAAAACACGGAGAAAAGTAGTTTTTAGAAAAAAGTTATCAGATGGCATAAAACGTGGAGAAAAATGCTTTTAAAAAAACTCCGTGAATTTTTTTTTCAAGAATACTAAAATCACCAATATATGTAGTTGGAGTTCAGTAAATCTCGGCAGATTTTAATAATCAGGAATTACTAAATCGAAATAAATAAAAGGGCTGAAACTGAAAAACGTTAACCACAGGAAATTAGAATTTTATAAAGTTATAATTAATTACAGTACATCCTTATCGATTTTCACAGAAACTGCACCAAAGGCACATTGAAGATCGAACTGATAGCCTGCTCTGCTACGATAATTGCATAATATGTAATAAATATTATCATGCCTTCTTCGGGCTGTAAATGAGCCATGAGGCCAAGTAGACGTTTTCATGATAAACTATACCGGGTCTATCGAGGTATAAAGCGTTTCATATACCGCATTAAGGGCCATTTAATACAAATGTATTGTGTCGTTTATTTTTTGCCACTTTACCACTTTTTACCACCTTTCTTGTTTGTCAAATATCTTTAGTTGTGAACATCATAGAAAGTTGCAGATTAATCGAGGGTGTTCGTATTCGCTCCTACTAAATCGCTCGCCCAAATTTTAAGAAAATTCTTGTGAAAAGGCCCTTTGGGCATGAAAGTGATCGGAATCGGTGTATTTTTGGACGCTGATTCCGACTCACCCCCCATGACGTAGGGTTAAAATGCTTCCCTGGAGAGTTATGGGCAAAAAACCGATTTGGTCACGTGACAGGCTAGTAAAATACGAATTCGATTGTTTAGGGCTCGGGTTAGGGTTAGGGTTGTGGTAAGGGTTATGGTTAGCTTCGGGGTTATGGTTAGGGTTAGGGTTGGGATAAGGGTTTATGTAAAACCGTTTTGTACGGCTGCAATACCATAAAAACCAAAGTCACGTGAAATTTTTGGGCGAGCGAATTAGTAAGAGCCGTTCGTATTATCAGAAAGAAAAAAATTTTGTAGACTATTTTTACCTCAGATAATTAATTAATTGGATAATTATCAATTAGCTAATTAGCAAAAATACAAATTTTTTTATTGGCTCAAAATGATTGGAATAGCTTAAAACACGGAGAAAATTAGTTTTTAGAAAAAATTTTCCTCCAAAAGTTATCAAATTGCATAAAACGTGGAGAAAAATGCTTTAAAAAAAACTTCGTGATTTTTTTTCAAGAATACTAAAATCACCAGTATATTTAAAGTCACTATTGTGACGGTACATTAGAACTAGACAGAAACAAAGTGTGAAGGGCCTGAAAATTAGTTTTTAGAAAAAATTTTCCTCCAAAAGTTATCAAATTGCATAAAACGTGGAGAAAAATGCTTTAAAAAAAACTTCGTGATTTTTTTTCAAGAATACTAAAATCACCAGTATATTTAAAGTCACTATTGTGACGGTACATTAGAACTAGACAGAAACAAAGTGTGAAGGGCCTGAACGGAACCCCTCGGTTTCAGTTCCTTGTTTAACACTGCCGTACAGCAAGGACATCCACCGGGTTCTCCAAGGATGGGCACATAGCTCACTCCACACTATGTTCTGTCAAATGTTGCTTATATACCAAGGATCTACAGGAAATATATAGTTGGAGTTCAGTAAATATTTGCAGATTTTAGTATTCAGGAATTACTAAATCGAAATAAATAAAAGGGCTGAAACTGAAAAACGTTAACCACAGGAAATTAGAGTTTTATAATTAATTACAGTACATCCTTATCGATTTTCACAGAAACTGCACCAAAGCACATTGAAGATCGAACTGATAGCCTGCTATACTACGATAATCATTAATCGCATAATATGTAATAAATAAAACCTCTCTTAGTCTGTACCGTCGATCGTGCTAATCTGAACTGGCCTACCTGGATTACCATCTACCTCTTCTTTTCCTCAATAATTCGACCGAGTTGTGCAAGAAATGTGATTTATCATATAAATCACATTTCACAACTAAAGATATTTGACAAACAAGAAAGGTGGTAAAAAGTGGTGAAGTGGCAAAAAGTGGAAAAGTTTGGAAAAGTTGGTCTGCCATAAAGGACACCTATTACGACTCAAAAACGTCAAAAATCCTTTGTAAGCTTTGTGTGTTTTTCAGACGGATTTCTCTGTACTAGATGTAATTTCGACTTTAATTCTAGCCAAAGCAAATTTTTCGCTAATTAGTTAACTTTTCCTTCCTGATAATATGAACACCCTCGATTAATTCGCAACTTTTTACGATGTTCACAACTAAAGTCAAAGATATTTGACAAACAAGAAAGGTGGTAAAAAGTGGTGAAGTGGCAAAAAGTGGCCTTAAGACACCTATTAGGACTCAAAAACGTCAAAAATCCTTTGTAAGCTTTGTGTGTTTTTCAGACGGATTTCTCTGTTATACTAGATGTAATTTCGACTTGGGGGCCGAAGCAACCCCCCCCCCCCCCCCCCCGAGTCCCAGCCTTACCTTCAATTGTGTAGATATTCTGTCGGCCACCTCGTCCGTAAAGTCCTGTAAGAACTGTTTGGAAACCTTGCCCATAACTCCCTTGTCGAAAGGTGACACCAGGGCGGTACTACAAGTGGTAGCTACTACCGTCATCAACATCAGCTGTATGATCATTTCTGCTTCTTTCGGGACTCGTGTTACTTTGAGGAATATCAGCGCTAATAAAGGGTATAACGGTAAATACAACGAGGATTGTAATCGTGCTTAAAGTATAAACTTGGACAGATCAATGATCATGCGCTGAGCAAATACCAAACAGATTAAATGGTTGCAGAATACGGATAAGTTTATGACCAATTTAAGTAACTTGGTTCTGCAAATCTAAAGCTCTGCGAATTTATCAGCAGTCGTTAACATGAACTCTAGAATTGAGACTACATAATAATACAACATAAACCATACTTATCCCCGTTTTAAACAATTAAAATCACTACAAAGAACTGGTTTTATTATATATACATAATGAAATGCACCCCTTACCAGAACTTCGACTTTCTTTTAAGCAAAATAATCAACTTTTTTCAAGGATACATTCCGGAAACTTTAATTGCATGAAATTTAAAGAAATAAACGCTGAAGTTATTTTATTCCAGCTCAAAAATCAAAAACCATTAATGATGAATCACCACTTATATTTAAATTCATTCTATTAAGTAGTACTCTAGAAAAATCACTTAGTTCAGTTATGTCCGGATAACTGTAATGTTTGATATCGGACCCTAACTGATCAGTTCATAAGTCCTCAAACTAGTAATCTCCATTTTCTTGCGTCCTGTTTTCTACTGAAGGTTGATGGTGATATCATCAGCATATACGATGATATAATCCTCCCTGTAACTGATATCCGCCCTCCCCACTGTCATATACTCCCCAGGGATGTTTAGAGGGATCCCACTCTGCAAATCGTCCTCCAGCACCCTCGCCAGGTTCTCCTCCAGCACCGAGTTGAGGAGACTCTCGATCCCCTCCAGTATCAAGTTATCCTCCTCCAGTCTCCTTTGTTCGGACATCGTCATTCCGTCCATCTCCGCTCCAATGTAGAGTTTCCCAGTCCATATATCTACATTTGCTGTCACGTTGGGGACTAGCGAGTATCCCCCGTCCTTCTTTACCATCCTCATTGTTCCTATCCAATTAGTCAGGGACTCGAACTCCGTTTTAATCTCAAGTTTCGGGTCATCACTGCTCAGAGTGAGCCGTGCTCTGAGGTGAACCAATACGGAGATACCGTCGTCGGTGATGCTTACTTCCGGGAGTGCAGGGCTGCTGATCTTCACGGTCTTCCTGTTAAATCCAGCCAGGATCCGTCCCTCGTTTTCAGGGAGCTCCACACTCGCTGTCGTTATACGCTGGCCATTGCGCAACACATCGAAAGTCGTTCTACTCCCCTCAGTGCCTGTCTCTACCAAAGAAAACTTGAGTAAGTCGAAGTGGTGTAGATTCTGGATGCCTCTAGAGATGAGGTCCTTCGTGAGGTTGATGGAGACCCCACTGTTAGGACCTGGAACCACTCCACACCAGTCTCTAGCCTGTCTCTTCTTTCTAGCTGGTTCCTCGGTGGCAGGGATGTGGATAAAGGGAGGTGTGACTATTTGTGTGGTGTTTGGTACTCCTGTCAGTTCTATAACTGCGGGTGTAGAGATAACAGCACAGCTAGGTCCCCCTGTTATTACTGACGGGTTTAAGTCCACTTTCAGTTCTCCTCCTGATTGCATTGGCATCGAAAAGTCCTGGTTGAACATTGCATTGTCGAAGTTAGCTGCAGCTTCACCCACCACTTCATTCACTTCCTCGCAAACAAATCCCCCAAAATCTCTCATCAGATCTAATTCAAACCACCACACAATAAATTGAATAAGCCAGTTGTGCCAGGAACCTGAAACGTTAATGTTGATATAATACATACTCGACCTACAAGAACCCGAGTCATGTGAGAACCCAACTTTTCCGTTCGACTTTACCCCAAGATTGACCCTGTCTGAGATACTAAACAAAGACATAACTTCAACTCCTCCATCAAATGTCATGGAGTACCACCAGGACCTCTTGTTGTACTTCCAGCTCCCTGAGGCTATTAAACTTCCTAACATACTCGCGTCCACAACAAGTTGACTGCCATCATTACGGAGGTTGATGGAGGGGTTGATGTTGAGGGTGGTTACTCTCACTCCCCAGTACTTGAACGAGTGGCCACTTCCACTGTCACTTCCACTGAATGATTTTCCCTGGTGGGGTTAACAAATATTAAAATCACCTGATCATGACATTATGATCACATAATTTCCTAAGACTGATTTGAATTTGTATAATATTTCGAATACCTTATCGGACCTTATTTGGACGGACATTACTTGAACGCTGGATGCCCTAGCGTTCATCTTAATGTCCGTTTAAATAAAGTCCGTTCATTTAATGTCCGTCCAAGTTAAAGTCCGTTGAATTTTTTTCAAAAACTTTTCTATTTCGAACTTTTTGTCCAGAATATGACAACTTTTAATTTCAGTAAATTTCAATAGCTATCATTAGACTAAACTATATCATTGAATCAATGAAAACAAGTTATTGTAAAATTTTAACGATCTAAATTGTCTTGTCAAAGACTTTGAGGTTATTTTTAACGAGAAACATTGGGCAAATGAATCTACAACAATAAGTTTTATCGATAACATCATAGTGCCGTATGTTAACGACGAAAAGGTTCTCCTTGGTCTGCCGGAGGCACAGAAAACTTTTCTAGTATATGATGTTTTCAAGGGTCACTTGACGGAAAAAGTTAACGAAATTATGGCACTTAACAACATAGTTCATGAGCTAGTCCCCGCCAACATCACAAACTTGTTTCACATTTCAGCCTTTAGATATTACAGTAAATCGTGTTGCCAAGGACGTTGTCGTAGTTCATATTACTCAGGGGAGGTAATGAAACAGATAAATGCTGGGAAAGCTCCGCGTGGTGCTAAGGTTAACCTAAAGTTGTCTAAGATAAAACCACTTCACGCCGAATGGCTTGTAAAAGTTTACACTGAAATGCAGGACCGAGGTAGTTTGATAAAAAAAGGTTTCCAAAAAGCGGGTATTGCTGATGCTTTAAGCATGGAATATTTAATGCACGAAAACCCATTTGATGAAGACGATGCTTCTCTTGCTTACTGTATGAAAAATGGATTTAAAAATCATTTGCCAAAATTAAAAAAACGTTTAAAAAAAAGATTTTAAAAATTCGGATTTTTGATGGTTTTGATTGCCTTCTAGCGTTCATGTTAATGTCCGTTCATAATTATGTCCGTTCAAGTAATGTCCGTCCAAATAAGGTCCGATAAGGTATATCATATTAGTACAGAGAAATCCGTCTGAAAAAATCGATCTGCCGACACACAAAGCTTACAAAGGATTTTTGACGTTTTTAAGTCCTAATAGGTGTTCTTTATGGCTGACCAACTTTTCCAAACTTTTTCGCGTGTCTTAAGGCCACTTTTTGCCACTTTACCACTTTTTACCACCTTTCTTGTTTGTCAAATATCTTTAGTTGTGAACATCGTAGAAAGTTGCAGATTAATCGAGGGTGTTCATATTATCAGGAAGAAAAACTTTTGTTAAGAAAATTTTTACCTCAGATAATCAATTAATTGGATAATTATCAATTAGCTAATTAGCAAAAATTTTTAAAAAAATTTATTGGCTCAAAATGATTGGAATAGCTTAAAACACAGAGAAAAGTAGTTTTTAGAAAAAAGTTATCAGATGGCATAAAACGTGGAGAAAAATGCTTTGAAATAAACTCCGTGAATTTTTTTTCAAGTATACTAAAATCACCAATTTATGTAGTTGGAGTTCAGTTAATCTCGGCAGATTTTAGTAATCAGGAATTGCTAAATCGAAATAAATAAAAGGGCTGAAACTAAAAACGTTAACCACAGGAAATTAGAGTTTTATAATTAATTACAGTACATCCTTATCGATTTTCACAGAAACTGGACCAAAGGCTGATCGAGCCGATAGACTGCTGTACTACGATAATCGCATAATATGTAATAAATAAAACCTCTCTTAGTCTGTACCGTCGATCGTGCTAATCTGAACTGGCCTATTGGATTGCCATTTACCTCTTCGTTTCCTCAATAATGAGACTGAGTTGTGCAAGAAATGTGATTTATCATAGCTCATATTGCATTTAGTTGGTGATGTAAGTACTTATCGAGCTGTATTGAATCACAATAATAATGAACGACACAATACATTTGTATTAAATGGCCCTTAATGCGGTATATGAAACGCTTTATACCTCGATAGACCCGGTATAGTTTATCACGAAAACGTCTTCTTGGCCTCATGGTTTATTTACAGCTCGAAGGAGGCAAGAAAATACCATGGATACCAAGGAAGAGCTAGGAAGTAGGAAGCAAGTGTAAATATATCTTCCAACATCTACTGTGACTTGTTTTGTATTGTTCTGCATACCGCTTCATTTGCTATGCGAGATACCTCAAATCATGACCCCCATATATCAGGGTCGGCTAAAATCAAAAGGAGTAAGATACGGGCAAAGGTATTTTTTTTCACCCTGATTTTTTTTGTGAAACTTAGTTTCGAAATAGCAGTTGACCAACAAATTAGGACCGGTGACCGAACTTTTGAGGGGGTCCCGGACCCAAACCGCCAAACGGTGCCCGTGGGGCAGCCACGCCCATATTTGATCCAAATGGTAATCGTACTGTAGTGCGACACGTACTGTAGTGCGACACGTACTCTAGTGCGAAGTCCGACAAAAACACCCTCTGTCGCACTACAGTACGTGTCGCACTACGATCCAGGTAGCGTACTCTAGTGCGACAAAATATCCTAACTTATTTCCAAGTTCAGGTCACATCCTATCCTTCTTATGGACCATTAAGTGATTCGTCGGGTCGGTTCACGTCACTTATTTCGGAGTGATCTTGCGAATACGATTCGTCGGTTCACATCACGTGTTTCGCACTAGAGTACGTGTCGCACTACAGTACGTGACCCGGTCCAAATTAGGCTCAATTTAGCCAAATACCCTGAACATGCCCAAAAGCCAGATTTTAGTAGATTTTGTAGCTAGTGGTCCCCTGAACTTGTATATGAATTTCCATCAAGATTGGACAAAAAATTACTGAGTTATGAGCTAAAAACTATATGCCCATATTTGGGCATAAGCACCTAATTTGATCGATTTTGGCCCATAAATTGATCAAATATCAATATTTTTGAATATAACCAACTTTATATGAAAGGTACGCCTAAACTACGGATTCTCTATGATTTTCAGCTCAATATCTACCTAACTGTGGGTTCTATGTTCAAATAATCGCAAAAAATTAACAAAATCGCCCATATCTCAGTTCGCGATATTTGCGAAACTAACTTCGCTCAAAACAATAGAACTCAATAGGGTTTCAATATTTTTTCATGAAATTTTCAGAATCAACGTAGAATTGCATTTCGACCTTAAGTTTTGGGACAGAATTTTGAGTTAGGCCTTTAAAAAAATTTGCCCGCCAAATTTTTATTTCATGATGATTCCAATCATTTTGAACCACTAAAAAAATTTTAATTTTTTGCTAATTAGCTAAGTTTTCCTTCCTGATAATATGAACACCCTCGATTAATTCGCAACTTTCTACGATGTTCACAACTAAAGATATTTGACAAACAAGAAAGGTGGTAAAAGTGGTGAAGTGGCAAAAAGTGGCCTTAAGACACGTGGAAAAGTTTGGAAAAGTTGGTCAGCCATAAAGGACACCTATTAGGACTCAAAAACGTCAAAAATCCTTTGTAAGCTTTGTGTGTTTTTCAGACGGATTTCTCTGTACTAGATGTAATTTCGACTTTAATTCTAGCCAAAGCACCCCCCGGCCCCCCCCTCGCTCCCCCCCCCCCCCGAGTCCCAGCCTTACCTTCAATTGTGTAGATATTCTGTCGGCCACCTCGTCCGCAAAGTCCTGTAAGAACTGTTTGGAAACCTTGCCCATAACTCCCTTGTCGAAAGGTGACACCAAGGCGGTACTACAAGTGGTAGCTACTGCCGTCATCAACATCAGCTGTATGATCATTTCTGCTTCTTTCGTGACTCGTGTTACTTTGAGGAATATCAGCGCTAATAAAGGGTATAACGGTAAATACAACGAGGATTGTAATCGTGCTTAAAGTATAAACTTGGACAGATCAATGATCATGCGCTGAGCAAATACCAAACAGATTAAATGGTTGCAGAATACGGATAAGTTTATGACCAATTTAAGTAACTTGGTTTCAAATCTAAAGCTCTGCGAATATATCAGCAGCAGAAAAATTTATAACATGTCGTTAACATCAGGGGTCGACCGAGGGCAGGATTTTCGACCGAGGCCGAGGCCGAGGAAAATACAGTTAGTTAAGACCGAGGCCGAGGACAACCGAGGTTTCTTTTTTTTGACCGAGGCCGAGGCCGAGGTCGAGGAGTGCAAATTTTGACCGAGGCCGAGGCCGAGGCCGAGGAATTTTGGCAGAAAAATTGTTGGGAAAAAGGGCATCTCACAGTCTGAAGAAGACGATGAATTCGAAGAAAATAGTGAGAAGATAAGGAGGGAAGCTAACAGATACTTAAAAGACTCTCGAGTTGATTTATCATTTCAACCATTAGTTTACTGGAAAGCTAATAAGCAGAGCTATCCGAACCTTGCTGAGTGTTCAAGGAAATATCTATCTGCGCCGGCGAGCTCAGCAGCACCAGAGAGATTGTTTTCTACAGCAGGGCACATCCTGAAGTTAAATCGCCTCAGCCTTAAGCCAACAAACTTTGAGGGGTGCTTGTTTCTCAAAAAGAACATCGGAACATTTGGGGACGACTTCGGCCCCTGTCCAAATGAATTTGAAGCCCCAAATAAAGACAAAAGAGGACTGTCCCCCCTTCTGAGCTGTGCACAGAAGATTATTCTGATTCAGAGTGCTCAGATATTGTCATTTCATCAGACGATGAATCTTAGACTATGATATTTTTAGTTTTGTGTCCTGGTCAATTGGTCGTTTTATTTTCAATTTTACAAATTCGTTTACATTAACCTCTGTAAGTCTGTAGAAAAATTCCCAAAATTTCAACAAAAATCCTCGGTCAAATCCTCGGTAAAATCGTCAAATTTCGCCGAGGCCGAGGAATTTCGAATCTATTTTTGACCGAGGCCGAGGCGAACCGAGGAATTGTCCTCCTGACCGAGGCCGAGGCCGAGGCCGAGGAAAAATCGCCATTCCTCGGTAAAACCGAGGCCGAGGCCGAGGACTCGGTCGACCCTTGGTTAACATGAACTCTAGAATTGAGACTATATAATAATACAACATAAACCATACTTATTCCCGTTTTAAACAACTAAAATCACTACAAAGAACTGGTTTTATTATATATACATAATGAAATGCACCCCTTACCAGAACTTCGACTTTCTTTTAAGCAAAATAATCAACTTTTTTCAAGGATACATTCCGGAAACTTTAATTGCATGAAATTTAAAGAAATAAACGCTGAAGTTATTTTATTCCAGCTCAAAAATCAAGAACCATTAATGAGGAATCAACACTTATATTTGAATTCATTTTACTAAGTAGTACTCTAGAAAAATCACTTAGTTCAGTTATGTCCGGATAACTGTAATGTTTGATATCGGACCCTAACTGATCAGTTCATAAGTCCTCAAACTAGTAATCTCCATTTTCTTGCGTCCCGTTTTCTACTGAAGGTTGATGGTGATATCATCAGCATATACGATGATATAATCCTCCCTGTAACTGATATCCGCCCTCCCCACTGTCATATACTCCTCAGGGATGTTTAGAGGGATCCCACTCTGCAAATCGTCCTCCAGCACCCTCGCCAGTTTCCCCTCCAGCACCGAGTTGAGGAGACTCTCGATCCCCTCCAGTATCAAGTTATCCTCCTCCAGTCTCCTTTGTTCGGACATCGTCATTCCGTCCATCTCCGCTCCAATGTAGAGTTTCCCAGTCCATATATCTACATTTGCTGTCACGTTGGGGACTAGCGAGTATCCCCCGTCCTTTTTTACCATCCTCATTGTTCCTATCCAATTAGTCAGGGACTCGAACTCCGTTCTAATCTCAAGTTTCGGGTTATCACTGCTCAGAGTGAGCCGTGCTCTGAGGTGAACCAATACGGAGATACCGTCGTCGGTGATGCTTACTTCCGGGGGTTCAGTGCTGCTGATCTTCACGGTCTTCCTGTTAAATCCAGCCAGGATCCGTCCCTCGTTTTCAGGGAACTCTACACTCACTGTATCTATACGCTGGCCATTGCGCAACACATCGAAAGTCGTTCTACTCCCCTCAGTGCCTGTCTCTACCAAGGAAAACTTGAGTAAGTCGAAGTGGTGTAGGTTCTGGATGCCTCTAGAGATGAGGTCCTTCGTGAGGATGATGGAGACCCCACTGTTAGGACCTGGAACCACTCCACACCAGTCTCTAGCCTGTCTCTTCTTTCTAGCTGGTTCCTCGGTGGCAGGGATGTGGATAAAGGGAGGTGTGACTATTTGTGTGGTGTTTGGTACTCCTGTCAGTTCTATAACTGCGGGTGTAGAGATAACAGCACAGCTAGGTCCCCCTGTTATTACTGATGGGTTAAAGTCCACTTTCAGTTCTCCTCCTGATTGCAATGGCATCGAAAAGTCCTGGTTGAACATTGCATTGTCGAAGTTAGCTGCAGCTTCACCCACCACTTCATTCACTTTCTCGCGAATAGATCTCTCCAAATCTCTCTTCAGATCCTTTTCAAAGATCCACACAATGAAGTTAAGAAGCCAGGCGTACCAGGAACCTGAAATGTTAATGTCGAGAGATCCCATACTCGCCCTACAAGAACCCGAGTCATGTGAGAACCCAACTTTTCCGTTCGACTTTACCCCAAGATTGACCCTGTCTGAGATACTAAACCCATTTGAGCTAACTTGAACTCCTCCACCAAATGTCACGGAGTACCACCAGGACCTCTTGTTGTAACTCCAGCTCCCTGAGGCTCTTATAGTCCCTCGCATACTCGCGTCCACAACAAGTTGACCTGTTCCACGGAGGGTGATGGAGGGGTTGAGGGTGAGGGTGGTTACTCTCACTCCCCAGTACTTGAACGAATGGCCACTTCCACTGTCACTTCCACTGAATGATTTTCCCTGGTGAGGTTAACAAATATTAAAATTACCTGATTGCATGACATTATGATCACAAAATTTCCTAAGACTGATTTGAATTTGTATAATATTTCGAATATATCAGATTAGTACAGAGAAATCCGTCTGAAAAATCGATCTGCCGACACACAAAGCTTACAAAGGATTTTTGACGTTTTTAAGTCGTTATAGGTGTCCTTTATGGCTGACCAACTTTTCCAAACTTTTTCACGTTTTTTAAGGCCACTTTTTGCCACTTTACCACTTTTTACCACCTTTCTTGTTTGTCAAATATCTTTAGTTGTGAACATCGTAGAAAGTTGCAGATTAATCGAGGGTGTTCGTATTATCAGAAAGAAAAAAATTTTGTAGACAATTTTTACCTCAGATAATTAATTAATTGGATAATTATCAATTAGCTAATTAGCAAAATTATAAAAAAATTTTTATCGGCTCAAAACACGGAGAAAATTAGTTTTTAGAAAAAATTTTCCTCCAAAAGTTATCAAATTGCATAAAACGTGAAGAAAAATGCTTAAAAAAAACTTCGTGATTTTTTTTCAAGAATACTAAAATCACCAGTATATTTAAAGTCACTATTGTGACGGTACATTAGAACTAGACAGAAACAAAGTGTGAAGGGCCTGAACGGAACCCCTCGGTTTCAGTTCCTTGTTTAACACTGCCGTACAGCAAGGACATCCACCGGGTTCTCCAAGGATGGGCACATAGCTCACTCCACACTATGTTCTGTCAAATGTTGCTTATATACCAAGGATCTACAGGAAATATATAGTTGGAGTTCAGTAAATATTGGCAGATTTTAGTATTCAGGAATTACTAAATCGAAATAAATAAAAGGGCTGAAACTGAAAAACTTTAACCACAGGAAATTAGAGTTTTATAATTAATTACAGTACATCCTTATCGATTTTCACAGAAACTGCACCAAAGCACATTGAAGATCGAACTGATAGCCTGCTATACTACGATAATCATTAATCGCATAATATGTAATAAATAAAACCTCTCTTAGTCTGTACCGTCGATCGTGCTAATCTGAACCGGCCTACCTGGATTGCCATTTACCTCTTCTTTTCCTCAATAATTCGACCGAGTTGTGCAAGAAATGTGATTTATCATATAAATCACATTTCACAACTAAAGATATTTGACAAACAAGAAAGGTGGTAAAAAGTGGTGAAGTGGCAAAAAGTGGCCTTAAGACACGTGGAAAAGTTTGGAAAAGTTGGTTAGCCATAAAGGACACCTATTAGGACTAAAAAACGTCAAAAATCCTTTGTAAGTTTTGTGTATTTTTCAGACGGATTTCACTGTACTAGATGTAATTTCGACTTTAATTCTAGCCAAAGCAAATTTTTCGCTAATTAGTTAACTTTTCCTTCCTGATAATATGAACACCCTCGATTAATTCGCAACTTTTTACGATGTTCACAACTAAAGTCAAAGATATTTGACAAACAAGAAAGGTGGTAAAAAGTGGTGAAGTGGCAAAAAGTGGCCTTAAGACACCTATTAGGACTCAAAAACGTCAAAAATCCTTTGTAAGCTTTGTGTGTTTTTCAGACGGATTTCTCTGTACTAGATGTAATTTCGACTTGGGGGCCGAAGCAACCCACCCCCCCCCCCCCCCCCCCCCCAAGTCCCAGCCTTACCTTCAATTGTGTAGATATTCTGTCGGCCACCTCGTCCGTAAAGTCCTGTAAGAACTGTTTGGAAACCTTGCCCATAACTCCCTTGTCGAAAGGTGACACCAAGGCGGTACTACAAGTGGTAGCTACTACCGTCATCAACATCAGCTGTATGATCATTTCTGCTTCTTTCGGGACTCGTGTTACTTTGAGGAATATCAGCGCTAATAAAGGGTATAACGGTAAATACAACGAGGA